GGAAGGCGTGCGGGGATGAAGCCGGAGGAGTCCGGCTGTCGCGCCGGTATCGCGCGTTCCACGCGCCGCAAATCCCCAAGTCCGCTAGTGAATTACGAGTGCTGTATGCGACGCTGTATGCAATGGACGACATACGTGCTTCTTTTTACATCTCCTCCATCTCTATCCCTCATCCCTTCCGCCGGGAGTTCAGGACGACAGCCGAAAAAAAGACCGGATGTCGACGACGGTTTTACGACTCTCGCCGCAAAAGCGTAGCTGAAGGAAATGCAGCATTCGTCGGATCTATCATAGTTGGTGGTTAATATTCCATAATCTTCGCGTTTGGCCAATCGTTTTAATTTTTCATAATATATCAATTCGTTCGTAAATTCGAGTAATACGGCTGTCACACTTTTTGTGTGAAATTCGACACGGCAAGAAATTTAGAAAGTTTATTTCATTAACAATAAATTGATAACGTGCTTTGAAAGGGAAAGGAGTGTATATTGTACGTGTATACGTGTATATTGGTGAAAAAAGAAGTGTATTTACACGACAAGAGCGCTGCAAACCCAAGTGTGTTATTTTCAAATGTGTAAGCGTGTTATTCTTTTCTTATATATTTCTTACCGTTTTAAGTCATGTCATTTATCACGTTTGAGATGTGTAAATTATAATTGACAACGGTAAGAAACGTGTAAAAAGAGATTCAACCAAAATAACATTTTAGTTTGCAGTGAGCGCTTAACCGGCTGCTCCGCTCTTGCAGTCACATGTTCGACTCATTGTTTATCTGAAACGATTTTTCGCACTAGCAAATTCGGTTCGTTCGCGTCACCGTTATCATATGGACAACGACCAGGCTTTCCCACCCGGAAAACGGGGAAGTTGCGACGCAAAAAGCGACGAAGGACTTTTCGCGTCGCGGCCTGGCGAAAAAAGCAGCTTTGCGTTCATTCCGCGCGTACTCGATTTCTGCTTTTTTTTTTGCGGACGGTTGCAGTAATTTGCCTTTTTCACAGAAAGCGCTGCCTTTTTCCAGAAAAGTTTCACAGCTCGCCACCGCTTTGTCATTTTCGGGCGAGTGACAAGTTTACGAAGTGTTTAGACACAAACATGTTGGATTTTAACACTTCACGCATTTTAAACGCCTAAGAAGTCAGCGAACTAAATCGACTGGAAATAATCTGAAAAAGTATACGTATATAAAAAATGTATATGTATATCATCCATTCTGACATTTTCAGGTCGCATATGTCGCGCGCTGTTAGTATTATTGTTCACGTAACTATGATGGAGATATATAAATCCATCATTTTTTAATGCATAATCCGTCAACAATGGAAATTGATGATGAGAACAAATGATCATACGCAGGTGATTTATACCAGCATCAAAAGTTACATCTTTAATGACTGTTTTATGTTTTCGTGCCACTATTTATCGCGATAGTCAAAAGTTGAAAAAAATTATAATAGACTATAGTCAACAAAGTTGGCAGAGAGCCAAGAGCCGAAAGCTGCAAAAAAGTTTGAAAAATTAAAATATCAAATTGTCAAAGTTTACACACACATTTTCACGTTTAAGGCAACTCGAGATACCGCAATTGACGATAGTGTTTTATGTACTCTATTCGTATTTCTACGCTATTTAAAATGATGAATACAAAATGATAACATTGCATGTAATGTTTAGCCTGAATTTTAATCTTGAAAATCAGTGTAAGTCACTAAGATGACGATTGATTGAAATTCAGACTAAATGTAGTACAATCTTTTCGTTTTGTATCCACACACTGAGAAAAACATTTTTGACATTTATAACTATGACCACATACAAAAATAATTACTATAAACTATAGTGAAGATTATATATATAATTCAACTATAATTAATTAGTGTGTGATAATAATTTTATATGCATGTTACCACTACCATTTTACTACAGAAAACATAGTTGGGGCAATAATTATAATTTAATTGGATCAACCATTTTTTCTCTCAATACATCATTTTACAAGCGGAGCGTTCTATGTTTCAATGAAATTCTTCTTTATCGTAAATATTTTCCAATTTATTCACTTGTCGGGCGCTTTATCCGCCCGATCCTGTACATGATTCGTGCCGAACCTGAGCGAAACTTCTTCCTCCCTAACGAATCTCGCGCGTTCAAATTCGCGCGCGCATCACCACGAAATAATGTCAAGCGCGCAGCAGCAGCTGTCGTCGACAACTCACGCGTTTCATTTCATTTTCGGTCGTCTGAACAACAAGAATAGGAAGAAACACATAGTCAAAAAAACAAATTCAAGGCACGTATGTATGTACACGCCTCGTGGCTCGTTCGTTTTTGATCTCGACGACGACGACGCGACGACGACGATGATGCGATGTTGGGTTCAACCGCGTAGTTTTATTCATGCAACGCTCTTCAACCGCGCAAATTCCACGCTGATGAGAACGGGCAAGATTTCGCGAAGCGACCTCGAGCCAAAGGAGAAAGCCGCAGGAACCCGAACGAAATTTAAATTCTACGTTAAGCTTACAAGTATCGTCAAGTTTGCAAACCAGTGAAGAATCTAGAGATACTCTAGATAAGAATCTAGCGAATCTCTAGATAAGAATCTAGAGAGTGTTTATATAGATTATTCTGCTTCTTCAGTGCTAGCACACAAAAAAATATTCTACTATTAAGAAAAGCTATACTCAATTTATTTCCCTTCTTTCAGGCTAGTTATCTTCAACAAAGAATATTTTTTTTGATAACAGAGAGAGAGTCTTGAAATATACTTAAAATATACTACAAATTTAAGAAAAGCACATTATCATATACTCAAAGGAAGAATTCATACTCTTTACAAGAATATTGTAAAACTTTATTGAGGAAAAAATGGGTTTAACTTTGTATAATAAACAAACTGCATTTTTTTAAATTTAATATACTTAATTAAAGTGCTAAATTTGCTAGAATTCAGAATGTATTTTGAAGAAATTTAATGCTTATGATGAACTTATGATATATTTGCGGATGTATAAACTTGTGAAATACTTGAAACAATAACGTTTGCTTGAATGCAATATATATTTTTCTGTATGTAAATCATAACTTGTTGTTTTCTCCATGCGAAAACTTAAAGAAGAAGTTGCTGATTTATCCGAGTCGGATGTCTGTCTTTGTGCTAATATTGAGGAATAATAATAAAGGTCGGTTTTCTTTTTTCTCAATAAATAATAAACTAGGAAGGTAATCCCAACGAACTAATATCAATGAATTACGAATGTAAAAACTGAAAGCGCACGAAGAATTTTCTCATTAATCATCAAGACTATAAGAAGCAATTTCTAAGTTTATTTGTAAAGTCTCGTCAAACTTCGAAATTACTACTCCGTCATAAAGCTCGTTTAAGTGAAATAGAGTAGAAATAGAGTAGAAAAAACGTTCCCCGCATACAAGTTTTTTAAAATATTCCTAAATACAATATAAATTCTGAGCAAAATGTCTCATGTTTTTTCTAAAATTGATCGTCTTACTATGACAAATATTAATTAGAAATTAATAATTGTAACCTAAACATATTAATTTTCCGCTGAGATTCAAGACATAAATAATATGGAAATTCACGGGTTTAATAATAAAATCAATATACTTTAATAAAATCAAATGACTTGAGAAGTGTGAATGTGCTCAAAATGTTTCATATGTTTTATATTGAATTTTAATGTAAAATAAAAACTAGAAACAGTTTTTTTGGTGAAACGTTGAGGAAAACAAGTGGGATCTGTTTAAATTTTCCACTTGATTTTTTATTTAGACTCGAAATCACACTTCGAACAAGAATCTGCGTAAGTATTCTACAATTTCAGAGTCTACAGTTTCTTTGGGAAATCGGATGTCAAATAGATTCCGAGAAATTTTCTATATCAGTCTTCGAGATAAAACAGCATAATCAGGAAGTGATGCATGCGTTAGCCATCGTCATTGAAGAAAGAATTCGCCACTGAAGTCTCGAAGTCAAAGCCTGACGCGCGGGTTCTCGTCGGGGTTGGTTTACGCAGCGAGATCCGCATAAATCTCGCGCGAAGTTCGAAAGTAAGGCTAACTTATTAATGATCGCACGCGTCTCTAATGTAGGACGCGCAAACTAAGCGAGGAGAGCACCGAGCCGCCGCTCGCATAGTTTTCCGCGGAGAAGCAAACTTCTTCACTCCCTTGCTCTCGCCGGCTTCCCATGAGATAGATGCAAGCAGCAGCCTCTCCTGCGTGACGTTTTCTGCATAATGAAACTGCATCATTCGCCGCAATCGCTGAAATCGAACGAGCCGTCGACGAGCGAGCGAACCCTTCATACACTTCTTTAAACTCTTCATGTGATCTTTTGTGTTCGGCGCGGGTCGAAGTAGAAACTCGAATTTGAGACGATCGGATTCGTCGATAGAAACGCTTACAGAAGGACGAAATTTTTGGGAGAGAGATGAAAGATTCATAATCATAATAATAGAAAGAAATTAGTACAAAGTAAAATATTAATAACAATAATAAATTAATAATTAGGAGTAGAAGATTAACTCTTTGCACTTGATGCTTCTTTTTTCACAGTGCAAAATCAGCAACTCAAGGAAATTGTTCAAAATAAATCTACTTTTATAAATATACTTGAAATAATCTAATATTACAAAATACACGAATATAAGTAAAAAAATAGTATGATACACATAGGAAATATATATGTGTGTGTGTGTGTGTGTGTGTGTGTGTGTGTGTGTGTGTATACAGTACAAAGGAAAAGTAACTACCACAATGATTATTGTCACCTCTCACTCGTTAAATGATGACAATATCAAGTTAAAAAAGAAAGATTAATAATAATAAGGAAATTCTCATGCAAATTTGTCACAGTGGCAAAAGTCGCGTAGATCATCGCTCTGGATTAAAATGCCACGATTCGTAATATGAAATAATCACTTCGTCAGAGCAGGCACGTGTGTCTAGCTCAATTAATCTCTTTTATTTTCCGACAGGAGTCTGACAGTTTGATGGTGTTCTCGGAGCTGTTGAGATACACGAGCGTACGTGAACTGAGTCTGTGTAACGCGCGCTTGCATCTGGCAGTGCATGAGGGTCCTCTGTCGAGATTAGGACGGCGCGACGACGCCGGCGCCGAGCTTCTCCGAGCCGCACCGCCTGCGGCCTGCCCGGCGATCGTCTTCCTGAGACTAGCCGGATTTCAGGTGAGTGTCCGACCGTGTCTGGACGCCGGTCTGACGTGACTGACGTGCGAATTTAGATGATAAATTAGTGTGCATTCGAAAGTTAAGAGGTTCGTAACGCGATCCCACGTACACACACACACACACACACACACACACACACACACACACAAACAGCACACAAACAGTGCCAATCAATGTAGACCTTTCTTGTGGAAAACCAATGAATTTAAAAAATTTACTTTTACGTATTCTTAAATGATATTTGTATGCTTTATTGTGTTATTTCCTCTTTCATTTTTTTTCATTATCTTTCGCATTTGCAATTAGCATTATTTTTGCTTTTCTTGTTCTCTTTATTCATTTCTTTTCTGTCATTTGCATTACTATTGAAAAATTAATTTCCTGACCAGAGGATTTGATTTTCCCTAAATGAAAACTATAATAACAATAAAATTTCCCGCATACACGATAAGACAGTTGCTAAATCGTGCTTACATTTCATTTTTACAAACAAGGAAAAACTTAATTATATAATTTAATGCAATTTTACTATAAGTATATCATTTTGTTTCGAGAGTTCGATTTCGAGTTCAACGTATCTTAAAATTAGCTTTGTTACGAATGCGGAATGTTAGCAAGAGTATATTTCAAAATTTATTAATTTCGTTTCGTCGTTATCATCGTGTCGCTGATATTCGAATTAGATTATCAATTAGTGCTGGTTCAAAAGTCAAAGAGCTAGCAGCGATCCCACAGAGCATATCCACACACATGCGCGCACATACACACATATACACATAGACACATACCACCCACGATACACAGAGGATAAAATAATTACAAGGCGAGCTTGCGGATAGTCTAATCCATTCGCGCGTTACAAGTTTGATCTTGCGGCGTTACAGCGCCGTCCGTAATGACATACGCAATCCTATTATATGGCTCGGCTGGCCGCCAGTGCAGTTACATGCCTTCAAGTGCAATGCAAATACATACGGGTGGCCGGTGGCGGCATTACGAGAAGATAACGCATACACGGTATCGCGCTTACAGTAGACACAGATGTAACTGTCCGTCCGTTCCTCTCTGGCCAGGCTCGCCGACTGTACAAGACTGTATCTGTCGTGTTTCCGAGATCTGGCAGGATCCATTAAAGTAGACACACACGTACACTCACTCATCCTATCTGCGACGCGACACAGTTCGCAGTTCGCTCTTCGCATCGGAGATGATACACATCCCGCTTTTGAAAAATGATTCCGCGCGACCGACCGACCGCGCCCGCAAACAGGACAAGATCGGGGGCTTAATAAGCCGTCGGAATCCTTGAGAAATCCTCTCGCCCATTATCCTAATATCGTCCTTTCTGCCAACCCTCGTCCTTCTCCCAGTAATTCTGGATTCAACCGACGAGAAATTGCGAGCACGCAATCTGAATGTCTTCTCACCTTCTCTCTCACCTCCTCACCAATATCGATCTCTTGAAACCGCGAGAGAAAGTCCACACCTGGCCAAGGGTTCTCCGAGTGAAAGAGAAGAGATTTGCGCTCGAGAGACGCGGACGGCTTCGGACCCGTCTGTTACCCGGACAAATCGGTGGAGTTTCTCTCGTAAGGGTGGCAGGAGAAACGCGAGATGTAAATCGTCACAGTGCAGGCTGGATGTCGTACAACAACGAGGGATGCACTTTTTTTCTTTCCTTACACCGTGACAGTCTAAAGGAGCAACAAGTGTTAAGTGTTAAGCGACTTCGCAGTTTATCAAGCTCGCATTCGTATCGCACTCTCTAAGTTTCTCGGACTGAAATCTCGGGCTGAAATCTCGAGAAGTAAAGGGACAATCGGATCACTCAAATTCGAATGATTTTTCATTCATGTAGAATTTTCATTCATAAGTCCTTCACTTTGTGTGTATAAATATAAATAAATATAACATATATATAAAGTAAAAAATAGAAATATGATATATACATAAAATGAAATTATTTGCGTTCTCGACGATTTCAAGTAAAAAATTATCCAAAATTGTGTAATTCAGCTATCGTCAATTTGGATGAAATTACATTCCAAGAGATTGAGGGAACGAAAATCACATAGAATCATAAAAGAGGATGTTCCACTAAAACTTACGGCGGTATTCATAGTCAGATCTTATATTTAAGATCGTCTTAAGTTTATCTTCAGATATTTTATAGCCAATGAGACAGTCTGTGCAGCAGATCTGAAGATGAACCTAAGACGGCCTTAAATATAAAATCCGACTATACCCTATGATCAGAAAGTACCGGGAATTTTTAAATAAAACAAAATAGAGTTAAATTTCAGGCAAATTTATTTTATCTCCTTCAAAATATGATCCATCTGAAGCAACACACATGTGCCAACGCTTGACCCAGTCCTCCATGCATCCCTGGTAGGCCGACGAAGGGATGGCCTTTAGTTCCCTCGTCGCATTCTCTTTGATCTCCTCGATCGACTGAAATCTCTTTCCACGAAGTGGCAACTTCAACTTGGGGAACAAAAAAAAGTCGCACGGGGCCATATCAGGTGAATACGGTGCTTTGGGCTTCAGAAATCATCTCTTCAGCAACTGTCTTTCGGTGGTGTTTTTGCACGAAATTCAGGTCCTTCGGAACGAGCCTGGCTGCCACGCGTCTCATACCCAAAACATCAACCACAATATGCTGTGCCGTTCCATATGCAATGCCAAGTTCACTAGACATCTCTCTTAAGCTGGTATGACGATTTTCAAGCACCATTTCTTTCACTTTCTTCACGTTTTCATCGGTGTTCGACGTCGATGGACGTCCGGAACGAGGCAAATCTTCCACCACTATACGACCACTTTTAAAGTCTTTATACCACTCGTATGCTCTTGTTTTTGATAGAGCAGATTCGCAAAATGCTTTTTGCAACATTTTCAGTGCATCGGCACACGAAATTTCGTTCGCAACACAAAATTTCAAACAAACTCTTTGTTCAACAACATTATCCATGGTAAAATGCGACAAATTGAAAAAAGTTGACTGATGTAAACAAACGCCAGGCAGACACTAATGATTGGATGGCACTAAAACCTGACAGATGTGCGTCTTAAGGTCGTACCAACATAAGAAAAAAAAATAAACCGGTTCCCGCATGCGCGGTACGTTTAAATAAAAAATTCCCGGTACTTTCTGATCATAGGGTATAAATACGGACTTAGAATGGATATTTAATCCGCACGAGTGAATGTAAATTTCAGTGGATTGGAACAAATTTGTACCTGTGAGACATCAGATTCATTCTTTTTCGGTAGAATAGATTAAATTCGTTTTTCAATTTTGATTAAAAATGTTTTCTCGACTATTTTAAGGATTCACGCTGTATGAATGATGAAGCATTTAAATTCGGGTGACACGGTTGGCGTTTCAGATGGAGTTCCACTCAAGAGAGATACGAGATTACGATTCTCCTGTGAAATGAATACAATTTCAATGTTCGCCGCGCATTCAGAAATATCAATCGACTGATCGGGATCCAACTACGGCTTCCACGCGCTAACGTCCGCGATTTGGCATCCGAACGAGCTCTTTTTCCGCAGTTCGCCGATTGGATACTCGAGAGGCTCCTTTAACGTCTATTACCGTTTAAGTGAAACTTAAAATCGAACCGTCGCGTTAAACGTTAAATGTAACTGCAGCCCGTTGTCTTCGGCATCGTTTGAGTGTTCGCCGGAATGGTTAGAGAATGGTAGATTCTTACAAAAAGAGGGCGATATTCGGGGTAACTACCCCATTTCGCGTCCGGAATGCCGATTCCGTGGCCGGAATGCCCCGCCATCTCCCGTTGTCGCGATCTCTCTCGCTTCTTATCTATAATTCATATATTTTCTATTACACACGCAATTACAGTCGGCTGCACCACGACGGCGATAAATAAGGACGGCCCGGACCGACATTCGTCTTCGTTGTCCCCGCCATCCCGATTCCACCTCACACTCCTGTCCTGTGTACAGGATGTCTCGGGAGTAAATTGTCGTAGGCGTATTCTGCAAGCAATTTGCTAGCGATCTCACCGCGACAGGGGATCGTCGAGATCACCGTGTGTATGTGTGTGTGTGTGTGTGTGTGTGTGTGCAAGAGCTCCGGTCGTTGTCGATATAATTAATTAGATGTCTTTACACGGATCTTCGAGTTGATGGCACTATATAACTATTTAATCCATTATTGCTCTTTCTTTCTTTCTTCCTTTTATTTTGTTTTTTCGAAAACTCGAGAGGATTAAGCGAAATGAAATTTTCCCGACTTCGAGACTCATCTTCTCAAGTTCTCGAAAGAGTCGAAACATCGTTACGTTAAAGTCTTCAGTTGCAAACCCGTTAAAGTGGAGGCCACTCGAAATTAAATGAGGCGTAAGATTCTGTTCTATCCTGTTGATCCTCCCCGGAGACGCGGTCTTCTCCCGAAAAAAGACTCGCATTTCTCGATCGCCCGTCGCTCGAGGAACCTCCACAGCTTCTTTATTCATTCGACACAGTCGATAGAAAAAGAAAACAAGAAATAGAATCAATTCAAAATCGCCCAAGAGATCTGTGAGCGTAAGATCAACGACATATGACTACATGGACAAAGCATATTTGTTAATTAGAGACACGTACCACATTCATTGTACTAATTATTAACTCTTTTTATGTTCTTCTTTCTCTTATCTATAATTATTTTACCTATAATATCTTTATCTTATCTATAAACTGTATTTTTTCTTCTTTTCCTCTTTGTCCATTTCCTTTTATGTATACCAAAAAATTTTCCCGTTAATAAAGATTATTCTTATTATTATTGATTACTTCCCCTCATAGAATATTCCACTCAGATATTAATATGTAGATGCAAGGGTGATCGCGCTTACCACGCTTGAAACACCCTGTACACGCATCTCTCGTTCTCCCCGTCTCTCATTTATCCGGCATGAACGCCGACGAAACAAATTGCACCCGATAAGGTCTGCCGAGGGAATAATTTCTGATTGCAGGTGACAGTGAATGATCGCCTGGCACTGCGCGGACCACTGCTACTGCCGTTCTTGGCCGGCTTCACATCGCTGAGCGAGCTCGACCTGTCACTGGACAAGTCGACGATCGGTGGCAGCAGCGGCTCCCTCCTCTTCATCGACGACAAGATCCTGCAGCACTTCTTCTGCTGCCTGGCGGCGCACTTCCGTAGCCTGCAGTCGCTCAGGATCAACTTCTGGCGAGTGACTTTGGAGGACAGCGACAGGACGATGCGGCAGATTTCCAAGTACCTGAAGCTCTGCGGCCTGAGCTTCCTGCGGGCGAACGGCCTGATCGTCACTGATAGCGCCAAGAGGGTTCAAATGGAGCACGTGTTCGTGCAGACGATCCTTACGCACCTGCAATGCCTGACGTGGCTGTGCCTGGACGGGATCGAGCTCACAGAGACGCAGGCTACCAGCGTAGGTAAATGCGTGCGCGACCGTTATCCTGGTACCAGCTTGGAGATCAGCGCCAAGGACGTACACGTGAGGTCGGTGAAAGCCCTGGTGACCGCGGCCGAGGAGGGCGGCCGGACCGAGGTAGTGTACACCGGCGGCTCCAACTGCCGCTTGAAGATCACAAAGGTGCAGAAGAGCGGTCGGGGCAAGAAGAAATGAAAGGCCCGTGAACGGCATTCCGGAGGAATTATCCTGGCATAGTTCTTGCCAAGAGGCGAGGAAGAATCGATCGATCGGAGGATCAGGAAAGAGAGAGAGAGAAAGAGAGAAAGAGATTGATCTCTTCATGGAGGATTCACACCACCACATAATGTGTGCAAATGGAGGGATTCAGAGAGCGAGAGAGCAGACACGAGAAAAGCAACGAGCAAGTGAACGCTGAGGATCGAATGATCCTGTAAATCGAGGGAGAGGATATATGGGCAGCCCTCGAGCGAAATCTTTGAAAATCGGAACGAAGTTATACACGGAGAGAATATTATAGCTTATATATAGATTTTTCATATATAGATTCTTTCCAATTTTATCATATTTCCTAGTGGTGCAAAAATAGACTGTCAATAGAGATTATTTTGCACAGTGAATAGATTAGATGTTGATGATGGGCCATTCAAAAAAATGTGCAAAACTATAACATAATTCACGTACTTTTCAAAAACTAAAAGATTCACATAAAGTTTCCGATATACAAACTAAACGTTGAATTAAATTTAGTAAATTTTTTTAATAGCAGACTTCGGTTTCTAAAATATAAATAGCACGTATGAGACGAAAGAATGACAAATCAAAGCATAATGTCGCGATGTGTTTCTCGGTTGTAAATTATATAATAATTTTCACTATAAAATTCTCTCCATCTAGACAGCACGGCACGGTGATGTAGCGTAAATTGTGCTAAAGGGTTTGTAAGTCGAAGTCATATATTGGAGCGAGCATCAACGTCGATTATCGGCAGCGGCGATGAGAAAAACAAAGAAGAGGGGAACTTGAGCGAAGAGGAGAAAAAGGAGGAAAGAAACGTGGAGTGTTAACTTTGTGGATTTTCGTCTTACTGTGATTTCGTTTCCTGCGCATCGGCGCACTCATTTACGATTTAAGCTCTGTAGATTATAGCGATTGTTAGCTCTCGAGAAAACGAGTCGCTTTCAGGTCAAACGACGTGGAGGTGCGACGCACTTTCGCTCATCCGACGCCTACGGAGATTGCAACGCCGACGACATTGAAACGAGCGTTCGGCTAATTAGGGTCTTCCGGCGAATGATAGTCTTCGACATTCTAATAAGTGGAATTATTCTACTTCTTTCTTTGAACGAACCACAAACCGAAAAATATTCTTAGAAAATTCTTTTACTGTTCCAAGAGTCATTTTGTCGTTTCAATTTTGCTGCAGAACTCGTTAATTTCTTCATAACATTTATTATTATATTACACGAATGAAAACGAACGGAGAAGTATCCACATGAAAGTAGGAAACATATCGCGTGAGTAACTTTGCTTTTTGACGAACACGAGATATTTATTCTTAAATGTTTATCATTATTAGAATGAATATTGATAACCCGGCTACTCAACATGTAAAATTACAATACATTCGCCTACTTCGTATCTTGTCACGTACTTTCGTGTTATGTAAGTAAGTTCTTTAATTTCTCGAGCGCAAGAACGCAAGGTTTGATATAAATTTTCGTGTGTGCAAAATATTTGTCAACAAATATCATTATTTTTATCATCTTTATAATTCACTATTATATTTACAATCAGATGTCGTCATTAATATTACAATATCCAAGGAGTCGATCCCAATCTCGTCGGATGAACGAAGATTGTAGCGAGGCATCCGGTGCCGCGGAGGAGTCTTCATAAAATTATTCAGATGGCGAAGAAAAGGAAAGAAAGAAAAAGAAATAAAAGAAAACATGTAGAGAGAAAAGAGAGAGAATGAAAATACTTATTAAGCGATTGAAACGAGGATATTTAACGGAAGGGAGGGAAAAAGAGGCTGTTGCGATTACATAAGTAACGTTCGTTGTTGTTAGATGGAGTGTAAGATACGATTCAGAGTAATATATTATTAGCGATAGATCATGATCACACTATTATTAAATGTTACAACTGACCGCGATCGACGAAATGCGGACCGAAATGGTGGCTTTACCGGGTGGCGCGTTGTTGGGGACTTGGAGAAATTTTATAGAATAAATTTTAAATGGTTTAGACACACCACACACACATATATACACATATACACACGCACACATACATATATACACATATAAATGCTATATATGCGCGTACGTGCGTATATTATGTTTCGCGGCAGTGACGTGAAAGAAAGAAAGTCGAAAAATACTCGAATAATTCTACAATAAAGAGTATGTGAGGCAGCGACGGCTACTATTGTTGTATAAAGTAATTATGTAATTATAAGACAACTGCCAAAATCGTAGTACTACTCGAAGACTCTCGGTCTTCGTGCCGCGCCTTCAGCGCTAAGCTCGATCGTTAGATTCTGCGTGTCCTTCGTCTAATAATGATAAGAAAAGAGAAAGGAAAAAGAATAGGATCGTCCGCGATAACCGATTATTGTGCGAACTAATTGAGTTTCACAGTCGCATTTGGCGTCAAATGCACCCTGCGTGCGCTGCGGCATACCTCGATATCCTTTATCGATGTTAACACGCGGCCTCCTTCGTCTCTTTTGAGATCGACCGAACGTCTTGGGAATTCCCGCGATCGACTCGCGACGAACCCGATCCGAACTGCATTTTACACCAACCGAGAACAACGTGATGCGGCGTGATCTCGATCGATTGATCGTGATCAATAGCACCAATGATAACTGCCATTCAACTGGAACCATCAATGAAAATAATAAAAAAAGGAAGAAGAGCGATTAGCGAAACGCGGCGAATTTTTGTTGGTTCTTGAGTTACGCCATATATGCCAAGTGACCGGTCAAAGATCTGAGATCATTTGTAACAAACGTAAAGTATCGTAAGAAAATAGACAAAATAAAATAAGAACTACATGAGAAAGGGAAGGAATGGAAAAGGAAAAAAGTATTCATTAATCCTTATTAGAAATCTCACCAGTCCTTATTAGAAATCGAAATATTCCTAAAATATTTATTTACGGTTCTTAAAGTCGTTTTAGCGTCAAAATCGTTGCGAAACTCGTCGTTAATTTTATCATGATATTTTATTACACGAAGTTCCGAAAATGTATCGATTTCAAAGTCACATTAAAACAGACAAAGGAAGATCTCCATATCCCCACGATTTCAAATTTCCACAATTCAGTATGGCTAAACAAGAAGTTATCCTATTTTACATCCCTCGATACGATACGCCTGCGAATGTAACATATCGAAACATAAAAAAGAAAAATGTGCAGTTACGTTTAACCGTGATAGGTGTCACATTTCAAACGGTATATTCGACGTACTATACTGTCGCAGATGTCAATTTTTCACCGTCAATTTGTAATACTCCATTTATTTAACACCCGTCGGAAAATTCGTCACTGGTCAAGCTAGATATGATTGATCGAGAGCTGTCTTAATACGCGAGAAACTACTCAGTAAACAAAAAACATTAGATTAACATTAAGGTATTCATTTTATGTGTATTTTGAACATTTCCACTTAATGTTTTACAAAAATTTCAAAAATATTACAGAAATATATTATCTTCTATGATAAATATATCATTTCCTCAAAAATATATTATAAATATTATAAATATTGAGTTGCAAATATTGGCTCGTTAAAAACTACATGTTAGGAAATGTTTCAGACTATTGAGTAACATTGCAATAACAAACTCTGGTTTTTTGCTCACTGGGCGCTTATACATGCAGGAAGAAGTAACGGAAAAGAGTGCGGATTTTCCGACTAAGAAATGTTCAACAAACTTGCAGATTATCGCTTCGGCCTATCTTTTTATACTTCGTGCACACTTGTATGATCTCAGACTTTCGACTGGTGCTTTTATTATCCGAAACAACGCTCATCGGAGACAATTCTCCGCTGTGTACTCGTTTCGCGATGCTCTCCCAGGCAACGGCCCGCGACACTTCATCGTCCAATTAGATACGTAAGTGCTCGCGCTCGAGCGTGTGTGTACGACGAATTTTCTCATTTTTGATAGTTTACTATGTACATAAGAAGTTTCGATTATACCGCGCGCGCAACGAGAGATGAAGACGAAAGGAGAACGGCGCGCGGTCTGTTACATTTGTGAGCTCACTTTATGAGAGAACCGACACTCGGCAAGACTGAAGCTGATGTTATATACACACACACAACACATGGAGAGATTACATACACGTATATACACCATACACGTATATACACGTAAATTTACACATTGATTGCGTGACGAAGCGACAAGTGCGGTGATCCGCGAGACATGCAGCCGTGAGAAACCCACGTGTGGAATCAACTTGAGTAATTTTATTATAAATATTTATGTATTTATATGTGTACACATATCCTCTAAATAAATGTAATATGTGTTTGAAGCTTCATCTCTTGATAACGTAAGTCAGTTCAATCGCTTCAAAACGACTTTAAGACGTGGAAATTCACGAAAGAGATTAGACCAAGGTCGATACGTCCGTTTTGTTTTACTACTTATCACCGAGAGATAATAGACTCTGCAAACATTGTGTACTGTAAAAAACAACGGATATTACCATAAAAATAGAATCAAGAAGAATATTATAAGTTTCTTCTATATGCTTTTCAATTTTACCATGATTTCTAGTAGTAGCAATATATTCAGTTGAATTTATTTTATTAAGAAAGTAATTTTTTGTAATAGTAAATTTTAACTCCTCTAAAATATAAATAACACATAAAGATGATAAATTAAAATAGAATGTCGATATGTTCCTGATTTACTAACTAACTGTACAGATGAATATTTACTGTACAATTTCAAAAAGATATAAAAAAGAAGAAAAAGAAACATACAGAGAGAGAAAGAGAAATTTTAAAAAGATTACGTAACTGATTGATACTTGAGCAGTTAATAATACACCGTTCAAACAATCGATTATCGTGAATTACTGACATTATTGCACACACTCGCGCTTAGACGCTTCAAATCTTCAGTAATACGTCGATGATTATCACTAGCTTGAATAGGTGTACGTCAAAGACAAAAAGTCAGTTGTAAGTACTTATCTTTATTATTTACACATTTTTTCTTCTTCTTATAACAATTACCCGCGCATTTCTGGTATATGTGTGTATATATGTATATATATATATATATATATATATATATATATATATATATATATATATATATATATATATTTATATATTTATATATATATAAACAAAATATTAGTAAAAGTAACAGAAATTGTGTTTTCCCTAATCGCACTTCACAGCTCCCGGCTATTGCGTTTACCTAGAATCACATGTTACCCTTACAAAATGTCAGGCATAGAAACAGGGAATAGCCAATGGAAACCCATGCACATGTGAAAATATAGTTTTTCATTAGCTATTTCTTGTTCCTATTACCTGTTGCCTGGCTTTCTATAAGGGGCTTTACTCGTTGTCGCTGTTGAAACGCGACGCACGTGTTCTCAAAATTTCCTCCTCGAAATAATTCCATCGCGACATACTTATTTATGTAATGAATAGAGTCAATAGTTTGGCTTGCGTCATTACAATTGGAAGTAACGTCACGATTATACCTCTATTTGTATGTATGATACATGATACACACGGAATGTAAAAGCGTCCCTAATTTCCTATGTCTATCTTTTGAAAAATGTTATGAAATTGTTACTTCTAAGTCAGCACGCGTCGATATGAATCTTCTCCTTCGGTGTAAACTCATAAACAATAAAGATTTTACGACTTAAAAACATTCGAAAGCATTTCTACGTTTTCACAAGTTTACTAAGAGAATATATATTACTCTTTTCATATAAATTATTTTCAATTTTACGTTTTCTAATCGTACAGCTATGAACTATCAGTAGAATTTATTTTGCTAAGGAACATAAGATCTGTATTAATAGTTGTCACTTGAAACATGTCTCATGTGAAACTTTAAACGTTAAGTCCCTATTTTCTATACTTGAATTGTATGATATATCTAACATTATATTTGCAACCGAAATTCAATTAAAAAACTCACATTTAAATTTAAATTCAAATCGAAGTGAGAGGTTTCAAGTAATAACTATTAATATAGGCCATAGTAAATTAACTAACATAGAGTAAATTTTTTAATAGTAGATTTTAATATCTAAAATATATGTATAGCATAAATAGTATACATAAAACAAAATAATAATTTTAATATCTAAAATATATGTATAGCATAAATAGTAGTATACATAAAACAAAAGCTTAATAAATTAAGACGGAATATCGATATATTCCTGTTATAAAATATAATATTTAATTATAATTTTTATTATGCAATTTTCTCTTCATGCATTTGAGGAAGAGGAAGATTCATAATCGATCTCCAGGCGTTCGACATAGCATGATCGTTTCCAACCATCCGTACGGATTCTTCATAGGTCCAAAAAAATTCATCATTAAATCATCGAAGAAAATATTACGATAGCGAAGCGAAGAGCATTTCAGAACGCACATACTCTTCGGGCTTCTGCGAACGTTCTGATCTACTCTCGCAGACGACCGGTCTATTTTATAATTTTTATAGGTTCACAGTATTTCATTTATTTAGCTACAATAAACGTCGGTCTACTCAACAATAACAAATTCGTACAACAATTCATATGTATGTACAACCAAAATAATCAACGAATGCTCCATGCATGCTAAGTTGCATTTTCTTTCTTTCTTTTGTTCTTTTTCGTCAATTCAACCTATCGATAAAATAAGGAAGTAAATACTTAGCATGGACGGAAAATATAAATCGCAAAATTTGTTAGGTCTCTCTCGAAATGTTATGAAACGGCGGGTATACTCGTGCGAAAGTATTCGTCTGTGCCGCATTACCGTTACGTAATGCGATACGTGTCCTCTCTTATCCTGCACGGCAATGCACGTGATGACTAGCTTTCTGGCAGTTGTCCTCCAGTTCCTATGGCCACTCACGTTGATCTCTTCACGCGCTCTCTCTCTGTCTCTCTCTTTCTTCCTACGTACTTCATATCCCAAATTTACAACTGAATTTCAGAGGATACGTGAATAACGTCAATCAATGCACAAACGGCACTATATTCGTTATTTCAAAGACTTCGTTAAAAAATATCTTTACAAACATGTCTTAAAGTATTATTGCAAAAATAAAAAACTGACCTAAGCGACGTTATATATAATATATATATATATATATACTTATATACTTTTATATATATATATATATATATATATATATATATATATATATATATATATATATATATATATATATATACTCTCTTACATCACGAGCGACTATATCATACAGATGAAATACATAAAGCATGAAAAATGAATATTTCCGAAAAAACTAACAAAAACAAATTTTATCAAGCAAGGTTAAAATATTTTGGAAGCTATATTTTTAATTTTTTTATAGTTCTTTTTCTTTTTATATTTATTTTTTCTATATGAATGTATCAAAGAAATCTCACGATCGTATCTCTCTCTCCTTTTTTTCGTAATGGAAGTATATATTTTCCAATATACATAATTTTAGTACAGACATTAAAACATTAAATTCTTGACGCACTTTTGTATAGAGAAAAATAAATATATCCGAAAGATGTAATTTTTATAGTAAAAAGCACAAACATTAAACTTAAACTCTGCCTGACAAAATTCTTTTCTATCCCCCATAATTTTAGAGATATTCACCTACCATACATTTTATGTGTCTCACCTGTATATGTGGTTCTGCAAAATGCTCAGTCAAACGAGCGCTTACAAGTCGAAGTCCGTACAAACAGAGATAAGCCTGTAGTTTGATGAGGCATTTACGACGATGATAAACGAACAATGATTAGACACTCGCTTCGTATTCCAGAATAGAAAGAAAAAAAATCTTATAATCGTCCTATATTCGCACGAATGCCGACGGGAAGCGGATTTCGAATTCGCCGTACAATCGTGCTCTAAAAATTTTATTGAAGCTCCTGATCCCTCGTTACGATTATTTTGGTCGATAACGTCAGAAGTGAAAGAATACAAAAGGATATATGTTTATAAAATAACATTTGTAAGGTCGATTGAGAGCAATTAAAATACCGAGAACATTCTTTTTGCTGTAATAATCAATAAATAATCATAAAATTAAAGAAGTTGCACAGTTAAAAAGTAAATCGCAAACTACGTTAATCTTACAATTAACAAAGCAAAAGAGAAGTTTCGTGAAACGTTCCATAAAACAAATCTATGGATGATGCGACACCATCCACGGATGCCAGGTAAAGCAAACGGAAAAGGTTTTCAAAATATTTCACAGATCTGCTCGTTTGATAGCATGTCATTTTACGGATATATCGTTTTACATTAACATATTTTGCGAGAATTTCTAGCGTATTTCTTCTATCATCATCAATCAAGATAAGCATAACGAGGAAACAAAAGTCTTAAAGACTGTGGCACACGGAAAAACGTAAGCGGGAAGACTTAAGCAGTATGTAAATTGACTAATCACAATCGAGAATATCAACGTAACAGTATTACGTTCTCGGTAATTCCCGAGCGTGACTGATCGATTCACTTACTGCTGAAATTTGACTACTACTTATATTTCTCTGTGTGCCAACAGTTTAAGCCTATACAAGTAAATTTAATTCGAAATGCAGAAATATGGTCAGAATGTCCCTCAATCGGTTCCTGCGCCGGTGAGTCCGTCTTTCATCCATAATATACACGTAAGGCATACGTAAATTATTCTCTCAAACGATCTGCAGTCCGAGACGGTACTCGCCGCTGTTTAACACGCACAGGGCGCAGCAACAGCCGCCGCATACTCTCAACACAGCGAAGATGTTCTGCAACACCGCCGTGTTTCGCGCCTCCTTATGACATATCCCGCAAACGAACACACCTTCGGCGGCGGCGGTGGCGGCATACCGGTAAGAACACTTGACGACGCGCGTGCCTTTCATGGATCACATAGGGGCGTAATCCAATTGGACCGTGAGCTGTCTCACGCCCGCTGCCTGGAAGATCTTCTGCGTGTTCATCACGACGGACTTGGGGTCCACCTCGCGGGCCACTTCGAGCTTTAGGCAGCCGACGTACACGTCGGAGCAGAGTGTCCAAAAATGCGGCTCCTGCACGCCGTACACCCCCGGCATCTGCGTCACTTTGTTGTAGCACTGCGGCAGCACACGGTCCAGGGCGATCGGCTGTCTCTGCATTAGCACCTCCCACGATTCCTTCATCAGCGAGATCACACTTAAGACTATCAATACTGCTATAAGCATGGAGCAGATCGGGTCGGCAATCATCCAGCCGAACATCTGCATCAATAACGCCGATATAATGACGCCCACGGAGCCGAGAGTATCCGCCAGAATATGCAGGAAAACGCCTTTCATGATTTGCGAGTTCGTGCCGCTGAAAGACGCCTCCATTTCGATGTCGTGGTGATTATAATCATGGTGATTCAGCAGGGAGTAGCCGTGATTGTCGTGCGAATGGGAATGCGAGTGACCGTGCCCGGCCGATCCGTGGCTGTGGCCGTGACTGTGGCCATGACCGTGGCCGTGTTTGAATGCATATATGCCTATTAAATTCACTATGAGTCCCAACACGGAGACGACGAAAAGCCTCTCATGCTTGATCTCCGGCGGCTCGATCGCCCTCTCCACTGCCTCTGACATGATGAATAAGGCGATGAACAGCAGCAACAGCCCATTCACGAAACCGCCTAATACCTCGGCTCTAACGTAGCCGTATGAATAACGCTCGTTTGCCCGCCACTTTGTGATGACGGACGCTGCTAAGCCGAACAACAGGCCAGTGCAGTCAAAGAACATATGGAAGCTATCAGAAATCAGCCCCAGGCTGTTGGTCGATATTCCATACAGCAGCTCGACAAACGCAAACGACAGGTTCACGAGTAGAAATAGAAAAAGATTCCGCGTGTTCTCGTCCGAGAAGATCAGACGCTTCCAACCAAGTAGCTTCTCCTTTATCCGACTGCCGAAGCTGCAGCGTGAGTCGAGACTACGCGAATTGTGCGTAAGTGGCAGCATTTTATGGCCGCGCCAACGTTGATCGTACGAAGTGGAAAAGTCTGCACTGTCTGAAAGAAGGAGCAGAACATTATGTATAGTTTGTAGAAAAAAAGTTGCAGCATTCTTACCTCAATGAACTCCAGGATACATCAGATGTTCCATAGAAAAATTTACTTTTTAAGGATTTTTAAAAAAACAGCTTCTCTTATTGGATACTGAATAAGTTTTGAAATTCATTGAGCTCAAAGTGCTGCAATCTTTCTCCTATTGACTGTATGATGGAATAGAATCAACTCAGAGACAAGATACATTTAACTAGACATTATAGTGAAGCAGTATCGTTGATATATAACTTGGAAAATTTTTTACACATCCACATATCCTTTGGACATTATAATATTCATCGATAAGAATTCTCTGCATTACAGTGTACACTGACTATATAATGAAACACAATCAATTCAGAAACAAGATACATTTAACAGAACATTACAATAAAGCATTAAAAAGACATAACTTGGGAAACTCTTTAAATATCCACATATCCATTGAATATTAATATTATATAATTGATAACTGTATTGCAATAGCATACTCTAGTCTGTTGGAATAATTATCCAATATTTATAGTAAATCTTCAGGAATGTAAACACTGTTGCTATGACATATAATTATCAAATGATAATGATCAAATGATCAAGGAGCCTTCAGGTCTAGTAGTCTATTCTTTGTAGTTGCACTGCTGAACTAGTGCAATAAGTTAAAGCAAAACAAGCATATTATCACTCACTCTAACTTATTGCACCAGTTCAGCGGTGCAGCTATAAAGAACAGATATCATACTTTATTTTAAAGAAAACTCCAACAATATGATCTATTAACCCCTTGACCTCAAATTACGTCTCCAACACGTCACATGTTTCTTCAGTCAAAAGATACAATGATGAATACTGTATGAATTGAGAATTGTGTACAATAACATTTATGAATTATAAACTGAAATACGTGGTTTTTCTTGTGATCGCTATGTTCACAGAGACGCAGTACAGAATTGGATAGTGTGAAAACACAGAAAATTACTTTTAATTAAATCGTATGGCAAGGGGTTAACTGCGATATCACTCGTTACACGTACCACGAACAGCTGATTAAAGGCGATGTGCATTTCCAGCTGTCGACAGTGAGCGAGGCATCTGATAAATGGAGTGACACGTACGTATCGCACATACGCAACTGTGTCTTGCGCTCGGACGCGGTGTGACACGTCTACGAGTTTGATGGTGAAGGTAACCTCAACCTGCAAATCGGTTCTCTCTGGACTCACCTCTCGTCGCCGGCGGCTGATCCGGGCGGATCGCTGATCGACTCGCGATGAGTTCAGCGACGTTCAGTCGGCGTGGTGACGTTAATCCGCCGATCGACTCATATCGTCCGGTCGTCAGACCCGCGGAAAACCGGATCGCGTGCGATACGCACGCTGAAGTAACGCCATGCTGCTGCGGCCACTCCTGAAGCGAGTGCTGCTGACTCGTCGTTGAGTAACATTACTTGAAAATAAAAAAATTTTTTTCACCTATCGATAAATATGCTCGATTGACAAGGAAAAGTCCTTTTGGTCAGTCATGAAGTTATTTGAAAGTAGAGAACATCTGAACCGCGCGCGCGCGTCACTGAGTTGTGCTACTTAAAATTAAAAATCCATCTAACTAGTTATTGAGTTGTATCACGACCTCGTTTTTTTTTTTATTAGGAATAAAAGATGTACAAAAAGTGTAAGGATCTAGGTGCTAATGCAAGATTCACACTGCATCTGATGTCCGATATCAAATAAGAGAACAACTTTCTAATATAGAATTCAATTCTCTATTGGAAAGCTATTCTTTTATTGGATATCGGATGTTATACGTCGGAGTCGGACGCGGTGTGAGTCCTGCATAAGCCTATCCGACTCTTATGGCTCCTACACACAGAACGCGGGAATGCTTGCCGCGCGGCGGAAGTTCGCGCGACAGCCAATCAATATGCTGCTTTCCGTAATAATCTTCTTCCGTAATAAGCTTTTACGGAAAAACAACATATTTCACACCGCGTCAATGTCCGACGTACAACGCCCGATATCCAATAAGAGGACAGCTTTCCAATGGAGAGTTGAATTCTCAATTAGAAAATTGTTCTCCTATTGGATATCGGACATCGTACGTCGGACATCGAACGCGGTGTGAATCCATTACATAATACGAATTCGGTATCACGACCTCGTATCGCGGTAAACGATGACATCTCGTAGCACGAAAAGGCTTTGAAACTAATAACAAAAAAATTATGAATCTTTTCACGTAGACTTTATCTTACTTAGCAAAATGTGATCTTTCTCTTAACTTTCCAATTAAGTTTTTTATTTTTTATAATTTTATGCTCGAGGAAAATATTTATTATTAATTCCCTACACACGTAACATGCCAATCAACGTGCTGTTTCTCTATAATGCAGGATTCACATCGCGTCCGCGTCGAACATCGGACGCGGTATGAATCCTGCATAAGAGAACAGTTTCCTAATAGAGAATTCAATTCTCCATTGGAAAGCTGTTCTCCTATTGGACGTCGTACGTCGGTCGCGGAGTGAGTTCTCCATAAAAGCTAGAAGTTTATTGGCTATACGTCACTTCTTGTCGCGCGATTGTACGTTCTGTAGGTTTCTCCGCGTTGTATGTCCCAACGTGCTCTTACTCGCTACGCACTCTGATTGGTCCGCATGATGACGTGACCAATCAGAGTGCGTTGGAGCAAGTAGGAGCACGTTGGGGCATGTGCGCGACACATTCTGCATTAAGCGGAAGTGGGATTGCAGCGGCAGTAGGCTACGGTCGCTTAACTTCTTTCTTGTTCTTTACTTTCATCAGCCATCATGGTGAGCATTTACGTATAAACTGTGGTTTTCAAGGCTACCTCTCACGATTTCACGATAAATCCGTACATATTTCGCAAAAAATACAGATTCTCGTAAAATGGTACATCAAAATTGCAATACATTCGGCTTACTTTGTTCACAATAAGGCGATGAGGCCTTTGTGTAATCCACGTGTTATATTCAATTCATCGAATATAATCGCTTTAATTTAGTTTTGCTTCTAGAGAAAATATTAATTGCGTTCATCTTGATAGTAGAGAGTAACCATCGCATAAAATACAATTAATAACGAATTTTTTAAGTTGACAAGAATATAACTTATCTTTTAGTGTATCCATAGTGTTCTGAGTTAATCGTAACAACTGTTTATTAATATTTTTTTTGTATTTTTTTTTTTATATAAGTTTCAAATAATTAAAAGTTAATTTTCACAACTCTAAAACATATATGTATTCTTTCTTTTATTCATAATCATTGTTTTACATCTATTATTGCAGCCTCCTAAAAAGGATACTAAGAGCTCCTCTAAGCAACCGCAGAAAACTCAGAAGAAGAAGGAAGGTGGATCAAGTGGTAAAGCTAAGAAGAAGGTTGTTACTTTATTATAATCATGATAATTATATTAGATAATTTGATGAAATAGATCTCAATTGTTGTGCACTTATCAACTTGACCAATCATGGAGGCATAAACTGATTTAATGAGTCTGATGAGATTTAAATTCCATATCTTTAATGTTGCCTATGTAATGTTAGTATTGGTTTTAACATATTGTCTTTACTATAGTTGCAGAAGTGGTCCAAGGGAAAAGTACGTGATAAGTTAAATAATCAAGTACTCTTTGACAATCCCACGTATGAAAAGCTGTTGAAGGAGGTTCCACAATACAAATTGATCACACCCTCCATTGTCAGTGAAAGATTGAAGATCAGGGAGTCTCTTGCCAGGAGGGCTCTGACTGAACTTCAGCAGAAAGGTCTTATTGAGCAAGTTGAACAACATCATGCACAACTTATCTACACACGTACTACTAAAGGAGATGACCCAGCAGTGTAATATATATGTTTTAATAAACAAATTAAATTCACTTTCTCCAATTTTTACTTGATTTCGGCAGAAGACGTGTCACCGGTGTCCGACTGTAACCACGTA